AAAAAATAAGAACCAAGATACTCATGTAATGGTACAAGATCCCAATGATGAATGTAACTGTATTTTATACCTAAAATGTACCAATAAACTTAATGGGAAAAAAAGAAGCACCTAATAAATATTTACTATTGTTGTCAACATTCTTTTTATCTAGAATGCTGTAATATGGAAATGAAGTGCTCTGATTTGTCTAGTAGTTTGGTGAAATGATGTATGTATTCCCTGACTTGTTCCAGAAAGTACTGAAGGGGCCTGTTTGGGTTAAGACAGAGGTGACATATGGGTTTTAACAGACCTCCTACCAGGAGGTGAGTAGCTTCTAAAATAGGAATTTCTGCTGCTCTCTCCTGGGTAACTGGAGCCCTAGGGGATATCAGGGAACAAGGATAAGGTATGAATTTTCTAGAAGACCATTCCTTCATTTCACTGATATCTTTGGAACACCTTTGATATGTTAGCCATTGTTCTAGGATCTGGGCACATCAATTAAGCTAAAAGGATGAACAAAATAGACTAAGATCCCTAGGCTCTTGGGGCTTGCCTTCTAGTGGAATAATTTCTCCAGGAATATGATGGCAAAAAGTATGTGGCAATTGCCCAAGTGCCAACAAAAGTCAGCCCACATTCGATGGCTGATATCTAACATGCCATGTGTATACTAAACCATATACAGTGTGCCAATGTCTAAAAAGTTTAGAAGACAATAAAATATTCTTGTTCTTCACTATATGAACATAATTGATTCCAAAATTGTTGCGCACAGGCAAAATCCTGTATGAATATCCATTAATTCCCATCATAAGTAATGCAAAAAGCACAATGTTTCTATAACCATAAAAGCAAATTCAGGAATCTGGTTAGTAATATCAATGTTAGTGTTTAAATTTACTATAGATAACTGTAAACTCTATTATTACAAAAGTAAAAAGTAAAAAGTAAAAATTCCTGTAGCATCATTAGTTTTAAAGGCCCCCTGCTTTTTAAAGCATAATTCTCACTATAAATTGATATCTGTTGAACAGTCATGGTATTCATGGTGGTTGAAAGTGTTTTTCCATTGTTTGTTGAAGAATTGTCCTCATCTTCAGATAAGTAATTTCCCAAAGATAATGACCTTTATAGTGATGTCAACTCCAAAATTCCTGGGGAAACTGCAGCCCAATTTTCACCAAGCTTTCTTGATCAAGTGCCAAATCTCTGGGAATGTTGCCATTTTGAATCTTGTAATGCTCTTGAACTCTGAAAGTGCTATTGAATCACAAGCTTAAATTTAATCTCAGCTCCATCTCCCTCAAAAAGAAGCATGAAACTACCTGTCAATACTTTGAAGCCTACAGCAAAATTTCTTTCCTCCTTTTGAGAAATATGTTTGAGAAGGCATGCTCCTTGACAAAAGACCCATTTAATCAATACAGAAAATTTGCCTCAGTGAGTAACCTATTTTCTATTAATTATCATGAGTATGCTAGCAACTGCAGTATTAGGACTCACCATTTTGCCTGTGGGTTGGTAACTTGACTGATGTCACATGCTACTAAGCAGAGTGACCAGGTCCCAGCCTTATATATGCAAAAATTGAGTATCTAAGTACATGGCTTATTTAAATGAAAGCCACCTAGTAGCAGAGGCTTGTTATTCCAGCCCTCACTAATGATTTCAGACCCAGAACAGGATCAGATGGGCACCTGAGGGTCATCATTATGACTCTCAGTTCATCTCATGGCCCAGTACTGGTACAGAGAAATGAGTGATAAAATGTCAGATTAAATGTATTCCTACTGCATATTGATATTCAAAAGGCATCTGCCTGGAATTTAGTATTCGTAAACTAGATAGAGGTATAAATAGATTATGATTAATATTTGTGCAAGATGCTAGCAAGAAAGTAGATTTGCTTGCCTTTCTGGGGTTCATAGGTGAGCACAAAATCCTCTTAAAACTATCTATAGTTAAATATGGAACTAGGTTTGTGGAAATCATCTTATTGCCCTTCAAGCATTTTCACTCCTGTTCTAGTACATTAAAACCCCTTTATGACTTGGTCTTTAGCAATGAATGGTTAAGTTTTTATTTTAAAAGCAAATTTCATTTGATATCCAATAAAACACATTTGTTATTCAACTGGTTTAGGGAATCTTCAAAGAAAGATAATTTATCCCCAACCTCTAGCTTTATAAATGAAGAAATTTCCTCGGATATTCCAAGCCAATGCTAAATATCCAAATTAGATGAGATCATCTACATCAAAGAGCCAATTCTGTAGTCCCAGTGCCATAAAGGAATAAGATTGGTAGGTCTTCAACTCCAAACACATCTAAAACGGAAGAGAGGGGATTTTTTTATTAGCCTGAGAGAGAACATCTGTTAACTTAGGCAAGTTGTATATCATTGGCATTTTGTTAGTGAGTCCACAGTGTGCTAGGCTCCACATGGAGAAATCTAGTCATGTGCTCCTCACTTTAAGACACATATGTTTGGCATGAAGGCAAGAGTACAGAGAATTAGGCTATCTGGTAGGGTAGGCATGGTGTCATGACCTCATTTGCTCATAGAGCCCAAAGGAAAATGGTTCTGTGGCAAGAATAAATGGGGGATCCCTGTGGCCCCATTCCCAGGGAGGCTCCATACCCTATTCCTAATGTGGCAACAATGACTACAGGGATCAAAAGCGTTAGAATCAAACTGCTACTCCTTATTGAGTCAAGGATTTTGTTCTCAAGTTAAAAACATTGTGTGCACACCATTTTTTAAAACCACTCTACACATATTCTCTTAAGAGAGTCCCTGGTAATTGTCTTAATGGTAACTACATGCTTGGGGCAGTTGACATCCACTGTTATTTTTCTGAAAGTGAGGGACCAGGGACAGAAGCAAGAGAGGAGGAGGGAGAGTTTAGAGATAATGAAATCCTTTTAATGATAGAGCCATGCCGTTAACCTAATTAAACTATAAAGTGGTAAAAAAAAAAAAAAAACACCTCAGGTACTAAATGGAAATGAAGAAATAAATCAGCTGAGACAGCAGCACTTCTGGGAAACCTTCTGATTTCTGGATATTCTGACACTGCAGTGTCCTATTCTCACGTTGTGCTCTGGCCCCCCTTGGCCTTGTGCAGAGGTCTCTTAAACTGACCTGTCCAATAAGGCTTGATTTATGATGTCCATATCAGGTCTCCAGTTCCCCTGGGAATGTGTATTCTGTAGCTCATATATTTCAGAAGCCAGACCAGTCTGTGAGATGTGGTGGTAGAGTACTGGCTATATGGTCAGAAGAATATGCTTTCCCATCTGTACTGCTAAGCAGATATAGAATTTTGAACACTGTGGCTCACGTTCCTGCACCATTTCTATGCACTCATCTCTGCCTTCCCTCTTAGAAGAATTCCCCTGAGACAATTGAGGTCACTTTGCCTATAGGAACAAAGAGCCAGAAGTTCTTGGGAGCTTACATCCCACGGGGCAGCCCTCAGCTGTTAACTGGCTGGTGCCAAATTTGACAGCTTTCATTGCCATCACTCAAGATGGGCTGTACAGTGTAACTTATATTCTGTAGGATCAGGCCAAAGTGATCCACAGGACTGTGTCTGAAATTGCTTGGTTTCTCCTCCTTCCCTGTCCTGCTTCCCCTTCTTCCATCTTGATTTCTCTTGGGAGTGTTTCTTTAATAGATATCACAAATCTTCACATAAGAAGCCACTTCTGGGCATTCTAACCAGAGAGATGAGCACCTCCCATATGTGTTTCAGCCTCAGTTCGAAGGTCTAAAGCTCAGAGGTGATAACACCTGTGCTCAGTGTGATTGAAACCCCAGCAGAGTAATAGGACTGAAGCACTGCATAGGTTCACAGAGGGCTTTTTCCTAATTCCTTTCTCACTTGCCACCCATAACGCTGTGAGTGAAAGCAGCATTGTGATGTGTTGAAGAACCCACCCAGCTACCAGATCTTTGCATCCCGCCTTCTCCCCACCCAAGCTGCTACACTCCATAGTCTCTATTTTGATCTCAGTCACTACTTTCCATCCTGACTTAGCAACAATTAGCTAATCTTTTCCACTCATAATCAAAGACAGGGATCTTACCTGCTTAGCCTAGAGATTTCACTTTTGTTCCCACTAGTGAACCCCTGCAAAGGAAAGCACTGGGTATTATAAGTGAGGAAGATTTTGGTTAATAGGTAAAGAGAAAAAGACTTCAGAATCCCACATCAACTCCATCACTGATTCATTCACTACAGTCTTGACAAGTTCGTTTGACACCTCAATATGTTCATTTCGTCAGTGGCAGAACCATTAATATTTATAGACAGTTCACTGGGTGCCTCAAATTATTCTAGACACTGACTTCCTCTTGAAAAATAAGGGAATTGTCTGATGCACCCACAGCAGTGTGGTGAAGATTAATTAATATAAATAAGTAATTGTCTGAATAATGTAGAGCACTCAGACACCTTACAAATGGATACTGTGTAAATGTTACACAGGATGAGTAATAATAGCAACGACGACTTGATGGACAAATTTCCTGCAAATTTAAAGTCCTGTCAACCTGTTAAGTGAGGGAAAGTAAGCATTTTCGTGAGAGTTTGTAATTGATGCTTTTGTTTCTCTGGCTGCCTAGGTGGGTGAGAGAGACAGAGAAGTGGAAAGCCTGAACAGTAAGCTCCTGAGCCTACAACTTGACATCAAGAATCTGCATGATGTCTGTAAAAGGCAAGGGAAGACTTTGCAGGAGAACCAGCTTTGTGTGGAGGAGGCCATGATGAACAGCAGCCATGTAAGTAATTAGGCAGTTGCTACCTACCTCTGCTCACTTGACTACTCCTGCTCCTTTGGGCAGGAGCAATAGAAAGTTTTTCCATTGTCATTCAAGGGTACTAATTGAGCGAGCAAAGAGAAAGAGTTAAACATATGCACCCTAACACACAGAAAATGCCATTCCTGCCCTCAGGATTTTTCTAGCTGTCTACAAGCTCATCTACATCAGAGACATCGTCTTTTTTTTAATCTGGCCTTTAGCACCTGGATTTGTAGCCCATTGCTCTGAAAATACCAAATCAGAGTAACATAAGGAAAGAAGTGTCTCCTAGTGGAGTCTAGACAGACTTCTGAGTTAACTATGAAAATGAAAGCCACTGTACCTGTTCTTCAGTATCACTGCTCATCATTTACTGCTGCACCTGCCTCTCACTGGCTTTGAGCTTTGCTTCTGAGGCCAGGACCCAGTCACAGGACAAGCCTAAATGCAAAAGGGTTAATGCCCCTAGAAGCAGTCCTCAAACAATAACAAATAGGGAGATGGGTGATTTAAAAACCTCCCTCCCCTTCCCCTTAGTCAGAGATAACTCATGCATGCTCTTTATTCTCCCAGAATTCCTCAGTGGAACTAAGCCCTACTGCTAACAGTAGCAAGCTTAATAACACACTCCTCATCAGTTTCCTTCCTTTCTTTGTCTATTTTCCCAGGTCCTCCACCAGAGATTCCTATGATCACTGCCACATAAACTACTACTTGATACTCAAATCCTTGTTACAGGGCCTGCTTTTGGGGACACTCAAGCCAAGACACTCAGTAACACTTATCCTACAAATGTGTGAGCAGTGAGACCTCCTAGCATGACCATCTTCCTATGATTTTGAACTAATACTGACCTGTAGTCCAGGCAGTTCACCAGCTGAGGAAGTTTCATTTCACCCTGAGATTTTCTCTCTCTCTCTGGAAACTCTAAACCTAAGGTCTTTAAACCAGTATAAATTTATCCACACAAGCTGGGGAGCCTGCTGGAATGTATTTTCCCACAGCTCTCTAAAAACTGGGTTTCTTCCTTGTGGTATTTTTTTCTGTTCAGTAACTTGAGATCTATGTACACTTGAGGCATAGGCCTGCACTACACCCCCAAGTTAACCTCTTAACCACTGTATGAGCGACCACTATGCTCATTGCGGGCAAGGACCTAGTTTTTTTCACCGTGTCTGTTAGCATTCTCCTAGGAGTTGCCACCTCACTGTACAAACCACAAATTGTTCTCTGTAATGCCCTAAAAATGCTACCAACAAAGCAATTCTACCTCATCTGCTGAGCATTGCTATCCTTTCCTCAGGAAGTCACAAATATAGAAAAATCCATTGGTTCTCCTAAATGAATCTCAGGAAGAAGATTATCATAATTTACTTCTTTCTAAATATTAACGTCTTAGTATATTTTCACCACTGCTGTTGTGAGTTTACTTACTCCCCCACTCAGGGAAAACCATGTGGCTTATAAATGTACCTGGCAACTTGGAAGAAGTAAAGTATTAAATTGCATTTTATTATTCTAATTGCCCAAAAGAAGTTCTAACAGCTTGAAATAAGCTTTAAAACAAGCTCTCTTTTTTTCCTAGCACTTAGTGCAAAATTTAAATTGCAGACTATGCATACAAATACACAATTACACGTAGACCTATACTCATCTACTCAGAAAAATCCCTTTAAGATCTGCCCTCCGTGAGGAAATGTAATATGGGAACAAAGCAGAAACCCAAGGCTTTCTGAAATTTTGACTAATAACTGACACACAGCTGGGGAAATAAGCAGAAGGTTATGGTTCAGGACCACATTTATGAGAGAAAAGTAAAATATTATATCAGATGTTATGTGTAACAAAAAGAGTGAAAAGGAGGCAGTGGGTGGTAGGAAAGAAAATGACATGACCCTGTAAATCAATAACACATTATGCTCTGAAGCCCAAGAACATAGCAGGGACTAACGTGAAACAAGTGAGGTGCACAGGGTGCAGAATTTATGGGCACTCACTCAGCAAATACCAACTTGAACTTGCTTGAACATAAGACTGCGTTCCTCCTTAAATTGTGCACCTCACTTCCTTCACTCTAGTCCTGGCCCTGCCCAGAAACACAGAAACAAAGTCTCAAAGTGAAAAGAGAAAAGAATAGAGATATCGTAATAAAATGATGATCAAATCAGAAAAGGAAGACCTTCATGAGCAATTTTCCAAGGCTCCTTTCCCTGTTGGAGTCACTGGGAACAAACCCTGTTATTCAGTAGAACTGATTGTCAAACTAATCTTTAAGGGGTATGGAAGACATTATTTTTAGCATAAAACTACTTCAGGTGAATTTTCTGCCTGAAGATAAATGTAATTAGCTGAATATATAAAGATTAGTAGAATCCTGATGGACATAATCACACAGTATTATTTTTAGTCATTGGTTATGAAAAATATTAAGTGAATCTGCTAAATCCAGGATTGTGGAATCCTGGATTGAATCCTAGAGCAGAAAAGAAGAAACATGTTAATGGAAAAACTAGTGAAAACCAAAACAAAGTATCTAGTTATATTCAAAATAATCTACCAACGTTAATTTTTTACTTTGGACAAATATACTAGCTTATGTAGGAAGCACACACCTGTGATCCCAAGCACTTGGGAGGCTGAGACAGGAGGATAACAAATTCAAGTCTAGCCTACCCAACTTACTGAGACTTTGTCTCAAAATTTAAAAAATTAAAAAGGACTGGGGATGTACCTCAGGGCAAAAGCAATGGATTCAATACCCAGTACTGAAAAAAAAAAATTAAGGTGGGTGGATGAAGAATCTATAGGAACTCTCCTGTGCTACTTTTGGAATTTTTCTATAAATCAGAAATCACTCCAAAATAGTTTATTTTTTTAAAATAGTAAATCTCAAGTAAATAGAGATCACAAGTGAGAAGAATGTCTAAACCACAAAGATATATCCAAAAGAAATGCATGTCACCTAAACACAGAATCCTACAATCTACCAGTACAAGAAATGTAACTGATAGAAGACGTAAGAAGCCTAAATATAAATCTATCTAAATGATATAAGGCTAACCTAGAGTCCCAGGAAATATCCCACTTGAGACTTCAAAGATAGAAAATGAAGTTCCTGACAATGACTTAAAAAAAAAGATAGACATTATGGTTCTTCAATTTTTTAAAAAATCGCCAGGGATTCAGTTATGAGAGCAATGTTAACCAATGATAAAAGGGAACACAAACTAGAATAGGGAATAAAATGGTTAAAAGATATTGCAAAAAGCTGGCTTTAGGCAAATCATCAGGGCCTGATGACATTCTTCTAAGAGTACTTAAGGAATTGGCAGGTGTTATTACATAGCTGCTAGTGATTATTTTTGAGAACTCAAGAGGATAAAGAAAGTCCCTGTAGACTGAAAAAGGGTAAATGAAGTGCTCATCTTTTTAAAAAGGGAAAAAGGACAATCCTGGTAATTATAGGCCTGTCAGCTTAACTTCAATATCAGGGAAAATATAGAACTTAACATCAATCAATTAGCATCAACTTAAAAAGCACAAAGTATTGGGTGGAAACCAATGTGACTTTTCAAAAGGCAAATCATACCAGGCCAATTAATTTCCTTCTGTGATCAAGTGGCCACAGTGGCAAGGAAGGAGCAATAGCTATAATCGCTTTGACCACAAGTAGGGCTAAAAGGTTGGCTAAATGTGGGGAAAAGTTTCTATGTGTGCCCAGCACTTTCTGTCTTTCTAGGTGGTGGATGCTAAGGCATAAATGTAGCTGAGAAGCCTGGTTGACCTCCAAGTGGTAGCCTCCACCATCACACCCAACTCTGAATAGTCGTCTTAAGAACTAATCTTACTTCCATTAAATTGTTTCCAACTTGCTCATTTTCTTCAGATCTCAGTGTAAAAGCAAAGAAGAATATAAGATATCTGTGTCTTCACTAGGGAAAAAAAACTTTTAGGAAAGAAGACAAAGAATAAGAAATGCATTGGTTCCTTTCTGAAATTGTACTTTGGCAGCTATATAAGTGAAATGTAGATTTAATCCATGGCATGTCATTTTCTATTCATTTAGAATTAAGAACGACAAATTTTTGATTCATAGGATAAATAAATATAAAGTTAATAGGTCTTGAGTAAGTTTAGGCATTTCTCTGGGTCTTTGAAATTTGATTTCTCCAAACCCATAGGTATTAGTGTGCAAATGTTTAAAATTCTCACTCAAGAAAATTCCAATTTCTCTGTAGATATAAGCTGTTCTTAGATTTTTATAATGAAGTAAATTAAGTCAGGACTATATTTGTCCCTGTATTAGAAGAATTGAGAGAACTCTCATCATTTGGCTGGTCCATCATGTTACTTCAGACAAAAATTAAATCCAGAAGATTCAACATGATCTCTGGGGAAGAGAATTTGTTCATCAGGATCATTGCTAGGCTGCTAGCTTTATATGCACCATTTAGGAAAAGACTTTTCTTACCCACAGGAAACTTTAAAGCCAAAGAGCAATTCTGAACACAAGCATAGATGATATACTAGGTACTGTAAGGGAAAACCCTAAAGAAAGTCTTTTACTTAAAGAATGTTTCTCTCATTCCTTTGGGCGATGAAGAGAAAATAAGAACATAGAAAGAAGAAGAAGCAAAGAAAGAATACACATGAGACCATAGTTGGTTTTCAGTTGGGTCATATATGTCCAGAAGTGAGGAGGCAGTTCCAAAACAAAAGTTACACAAAAATACTAGAAGCACTAGGACTCTAGTTTCTTAATCCTGAGAGATTAGTTCACCTTCAATGAAGCCAAAAGAAAAATGATTTGGGCAAAAATGATAAGGATTTTATTGAGTATATGCTTCACTAAAATAAGCCCTTGTGAATTAACCCTATTCCTGGGATGTTGTTCCTTTGCTTTAGTTCTATCCATGTTAAGTATTTATTTGTCATCATTTTTTTTCCAAGCATTTCTCCATTTCCTCAGCTTATCTATGTAGATAGGAGGATTTGGGCTCCTGAGGACTTCCCTCTTATGTGTGTGTGCATATATAAATACACAAGCACACATACACACACAACACTACTTCCTTATTCCCTTTTCTCTAAATCTTATTCGCAAATGAGTTTTAAGAATAGCATTATTCTTACCCTGGAAAGAATGAAAACACAAAGAAACAATATTTAATAGAAATGTTGAGACTTATAGCTACACAAAGTAAATACAAAATTCAATTTTGTTTGGCTTAGGAAAGAAGTCTCATCAACTTCCCTCTAGCCACATACATCAGATATTTAGGCCAAAAGTACAGCTTGACTTTATCTAGGATTTTTGATGCCTGATGATCAAAGTGGTCTATTTTCTCTGTCAATCTTCTCAATTCTAAGGCATTTAGGATGAAATAAACTTCCAAGGAAACTGGAAAAGAGTAATTCAGACTGAAAAGACACAATCAACTATTGTCTTTCTGGATCTGAGCTGGGTTAAGTCTCCTTTCCTTTACTTGTGCTGACACCACCCACTCTCACTAGAGAAGATTGTCTCTCTTTCAGATATCAGCTTAATCTCATTAAATTCCATCTCTCCAGTTACTCAAACCAAAACTCTGAAGTCATCTTGTCTTAGATGACTATCATTTCCCAGCATTCGGCATATAACTCAGCAGTGAATTATGCGGATTCTACTTTCCAAATATATCTAGAATCCAACCACTTCTCCCAACAGCCACTGTTCCCACCTTGATCTACCCATCTTTTCTTGTCTCAATTCTTTTAATAGCTTCCTCTATGAACTTCCTGCTTCTGTATCTGCCTCCTTACAGTTGATTTGCAATAGAACAGCCAATGTGTCCTTTATAAAATTTAAAAGAGGCCATGTCACTCCCCTCCTCATTATTTTCCAATGGCATCTCATGTCTCTAAAAGCAGTTGGAGTCTTTAGAATGGCCTCTATGACCCAACAGGACCTCACTTCCTTTTCTTTTCTCACATCATCTGGCATCATTCTCCTCCCTCATTTTCTCTACTCCATGTAGAACAAAATCCCTGGCACTCTCTGGGGATCCTCAAATACCACAAGGCATGTTTCCACCTTCATGACTTTGTGCTATTATCTCTCTCTCTCTCTCTGGTGCACACTCACTGCACATTTCTATCAGGCTCCTCCTCTTTCCTCCTTCATGTTTTGCCTCAAATTTCATCTTCTTAATATGGCCCTCCATAAAAACATTTAATTCAAAATTATAAACTCTCCCATCTTGGCATTCCTCATTTTTCTCCCCACTTTACTCTTCTCTGTAGCACTTTTTCCTTCTAATACACTGTATAATTTACTTGCTGTAATTGTTTTCTCTTCCTAATAGATGCAAACTCTATGAAGGCAGATACTGTGTTTATTTTATGAACTGCTGTATTCCTATTACCTAGTACAGTACTTAACATAAGTATTCCTAATCCTAGTCAAACAAACTAATTATATGAAAACATCACATCCACACAAAGACTAATATGTTCATGTTTATAGCAGCATTAATAGCCAAAACTGAAACAAATGAACAAATCCTGATTCTTGCTGCAACCTGAATGAACCTCAAAAACTTATTCTGAGTAAAAGAAATTAGACATAAATGATAACATATTATACAATTCCATATTGGACATGGATAGAAGATACAAATCCATACAGGTAGAAAGCACATTAATGATTGCCTGGCCCTAGGGGTAGGAACAGGAGTGAACTGCAAATGAGCAGTTATAGGGTGGTGGTAATATTCTTTTTTTCTTTTTCTTCTTCTTTTATCTTTTTGGTACCGGGAATTGAACTCAAGACCTTGTGCTTGCGAGGCAGGTGCAGCACCACTGAGCTAAACCCCTGGCCCTTGCTGGTAATATTCTAAAACTGGATTGTGATGATTGATGTAGAATTCTATAAATTTATTACAAATTATTGAATTGTATACTTAACAATGTTATAGTATATAAATTATACCTCAATAAGACTATTTTTAAAAGTTAATTGTTTTAAAAAGCTTGAAAGCTGTGATGTTAAATAAGTACTCTGTTGATGAAACCAAGTCCACAAGCTCAATTCCTGGAAGCAAATGAAATTTTTTAGTCTCTATTTTCATTCCTTTCATCTAATACATAGTGATGTATGAATCTCTAATCTAGGAACAATAGGAGAAGACATGGTCCCTGCCCTCCAGGAGTTTATAATCCAATCAGCATAGGTACAGAATGAAAAATGAACATGCCAGCAAAGACTCTGGTACTGATGCAAAGACAGCTGTTCAGAGAAAACCAAGAACAGGATTTGAACAGGGTCTTCACCACAAGCAGAAAGATAATAAGCAGACATGGGAGCTTAAGACTGCCCTCGTGCTGTCCTCTACCCACCTCTCTTTCACATGTCATCATCATATGGGATAATGGGCAAGAAAATATAAAAGCATCAGTGCAAAACTTCAATTATTCCAGAAAAACAACTCAGGGAGGTGTCTTACCAGCCGAATTCCTGGTACAGAGTAGGTCCTCAGCATATGTGAATGCATAGAAATGGAGGGCAGCAGATTGTGGATTTGCAGAGAAAGATCACACCACACACGTGTGCATGCATGATGCATGTTCATGTACATTCACACACACACACAGCATCTGTAGGGTTACATCTTTGGGAAGGAGACAGAATCAGTGCACAGATATGAACGTTATTTCTGTCTTTTTCCAGCATTCCAAAACCTCCAAGAATTCATCCTTGCCTCCTTTCAATGCTCTTTTGCCTAGATATATTTTTTTATATTAAAT